AAGGGTTATGTTAGAGTCCTGCCAGCATTGATTACTCTGGAGACCAGAGGATTGACTGAGCAGTCCAGCGTCCCACCATGCATCAGCCTGGGCAGTCAAAATTGTGATGATGACAGCATACTAGCAGAAACTTCTCATGCCACATGTCTACCATGCTTTAAACACGAGCGAACACCTTCCGTTTTTGGCAGTGAAGTACACAGCAGTTGGCCTCCGTGCTGCTGGAGGACCAGTGTACCTCACGCCATTTACATTAGCCTCCTTTGGCCCCCTTCACCACATCCGATGTTACACTGCATTTTATCCCCTTCCTCGCACGCACTGTAGGAGCATAGCCAGTTCCTCAGCAGTACTCCTTCTGTTAGACTCTGTTTATCCCCTTCGTCTCACCCGCTGTGGGGCCAGAACCAGTTTCCCAGTTGTARTCCATGTGTTACATTTTGTTGTATCCCCTTCCTCGCCCCCGCTGCCGGGCAGAGGCACTTTCCGAAGGTGCAGTGCCACACCGAGGTCGTTGCTGTGTAGTAGTCCGGCGTACCGAATGAAGCTTTCTGTCTGAGCGGACTTCTTTGTCTCTCCTGTATGGCTGCTCCCCACCAATAGACTGCCGCCAGCAGATGGACTGCTACAGTAGTAATTGGAATAAAGAGAGTACATGTCATGCACAGTCCGTGAACCAATCAACAACAAGCGGCTTAAAAGCCTCGATGTTTGCATAAAAAAAAAAAAAAAAAAAAAGGTGGCCAAGTTACAAGTGATGCAAGAATCGATGGCAAAGATGGACGTATTACCCGAAAAAGTAAGGAGATCTTGGTTCCCCTCCTCCTCTTGTTAACACTCACTGGGCATGCCGGTGCAAAGGAAGCTTCCCGCCAAAACCTTTTCAATCCGTTGGGGGTATGGGCAACCCAAAAAGAGAGTGGGGTCGGCCATAGGCCGACTAGATAGAAGATTTTCAGTATTTTGCTTGCTGTTGTGCAATTATCTAATTGGGTGGAGCCCTCCTTCAATCACGGAGTATAGTATATGGAGGGCGTCAGGATCACTGCTGACAGAAGTTGAGTTTATTCCAGAAAATGTGGCGGTTACTTTGTTCACTGTTTTTGCAACCACCACCATCAGATCATTTGTGATCTGATGGCTGGGAAGCACTCTGCGGTGATTTCAGGTGGTAGGTCTCTGTTTTTTTTTTTTTTTTTTTNAGCACTCTGCGGTGATTTCAGGTGGTAGGTCTCTGTTTTTTTTTTTTTTTTTTTTTGCCTTTCTCCTGTTTTCTCAGCCCAGAAATTCGTAATGAACCTGTCAGGTCACTGCCACTCAGTGTCACACTGGATCGGCCACACTCCTATCCGACTGCTAATGGGACCATGCTCCAGGTGTTGATAAAGGGATAGGACCCTGATGGAATCAGAAAGTATTAAATAGCTCAGTGGTTAGAGCACCGGTTGGAAATGCGCATTCTGGTATGAGGTTGCGGGTTCAAAACTCCGCAGCCTTGCGCATGGACACCGGCAGGGCGTTAGAATGACGCACGGCTGGACACACACACCCCTGGGCTGAGGCATGGTACTATTACAGTCACTGCCTGCGCACCACCCAGGGGTCAGTCCATGGGCTGACGCATGGTACTATTACAGACACTGCCTGCGCACCACCCAGGGGTCAGTCCATGGGTGTTGTATGATGGCCTAGACTTCACGTTGGTTGCTCGTTGTTGTTGGCTTTGGTCGCTCGCTCTGATGATCTCGCCCAGCCGAGACATTACACACATTATACCTACTTCCTGTGGAAGTACATGTGGTAGAGCCCTCCAGTTTCATACTGTAGGTCACAGGTTCGAGTCTGGTTCCGGACTTTGGGGGGAGTCCTGTCCAGATAGACCTGTCTCTACCACATACATCTACACACACAGATACCACCCCAGATAGCACAACTACTATACATACCATACACACATACTATACACTCACCTTGCAGATGCTCCATGGTGGGGAGCAGCATCTGCTATGAAATCGGGTCAACATACACATAACGAACATACACAGCCCACGGGCACACATCTAAGATACAGAGCACATATACACATGCACAACCATAGGGCTGGGAGAAGGTCACGATCAACCGATAATGATGATAGGCGTTTGATGATAAGTATCCCCCTTAATATAAGCTAGGTCAGTGGTGGGTGAGTATGTGACGAACCACTTTCTGTAATGCGCGACTTTCTGCGCGGTTGCAACAAGGGGTCCTAAGTTGGGAAGGGTGGGCCAATTACGGGAGATCGGGATCGGTGGAAAATTGCATCAGTGTCCTTGCTTTTTCGTCTTTATCGTCGCTTCTGTTCGAATGGACGGGTTCGGAGCTGGGTATGTCCTGGGATGATCGGTTGATTGATTGGTCGGCTGGATGGCTGGCGCGCCACCGAGCGCGCGATTAATAAATGTTGACGCCGTTTCTTTCGTTTCGGTTTAGATCTTTTTGGCGCGGACATCACGCGGGAATTTGCTTCGTTCTTTTTGAATTTTCTTTTGAGTTTTTTCGAATTTTGTCGAGCCCCGATGGCTCTCGGAATTTCGGACTTTCCCCCTGAAGATCGTGCTTTTTGCTTCTTCACGTTAGATAGGAATTTAGGAATTCGGTAATTAGGATTTTTCTTGCCGTGCGGCGCCTTTTGTCTACGCGCTTCTTCATGCGGCTGCAACGGTACTCTGATTAGTGGGCGCCCTTAATCGTGTGTGTAACCGTAATTTTAGGCGGGCGCCATTGTAACTCTTTCTTCTTGCACCTTGTCTTTCCCGCCCTCCTTCTCTTTCTTCCGCTGCGTTTTTGGTAGTCGCGGTCTGCATGATCGGATCGATGCGTGGAGAGCGGCTACGTCCCCCACGCAGCGAGCCGACCATTCAGACGCAGGCAAACTCCTCCCCCTTCCCTTCTTCTAAGTCCTTGTAATTCCGTGTTTTTTGCGCATGCATGCACACTATAAATTCCGACTGCGCGATTAGTTAGCTCTCTTAACCAGTTGTTGGAAGCTAGGGGTTGTGCGATTAGGAAGGGTCGCCACACGAGCGAAGTAAGAGGTGAGTAGAGTAAGAGTCGGGCGACTCGACGAGATGGTGCCAAACGCGCAGGGTTGACGTGGGCCACGATGGACTGTGGACGCGGGCGAACCTGACGGGTGCGGGAGGACTAAGCGGGGTGACGACTTCGTGGGTTGGTGCGTGACGACGGAAGGTCCGCATCGGAGAAGAGAGAGAGAGAGGAGGAGAGAGTTGAGGTTGATGGACGCGGGTTTGCTGTTTCGGAGAAGAGAGAGAGAGAGGAGGAGAGAGTTGAGGTTGATGGACGCGGGTTTGCTGTTTCTTTGTCTCTTCCCCCTCTCTATCTGTGTATATAAATTTCGATTGCGGCTCCGGGCGGTTTGCCCGTTCTTGTTTTCGTTTTGGCTTTCCGAAATCTGGATTTGGGTTTTTGCTCACACTTGTCCTTGCGATGTCCGTCTTGATTGCATTATGTGTATGATTGTTGAATGTATGGATGTATGGATGYTATGCTTGCTTGTCTATCTTTTTGCTGAGAATCCTTGTCCTTGCTTTTGTTTGTYGTCTTCGAGGCACTCGTGCATAGACTAGGAATTTTGTGCAAATGATGGTCCTGTCTGTGYGTTTGCTTSCCTTGGGATCGAGCTGTTTTGTGATCGTTGCATCTTGCATAACTCAGAACCTCACGGAGTGATTAGGTGGTCGGATGCCGGGCTCGGTGAACGTCGCGCGGGGACACGTGTAAAACGCGATCTAAGTTGCACACGTACACGCATCCTCGGGCGTCGACTCATCAATATGTCCGATTAAGAAGGGMCATCTCAGAATCCGCACAGCGCAATCGTCYCGCACGAGCACGAGTAAGTCCGACGCCATTCRCGYGGCCTGCACGTGCTCGCACTCGGCGATCACGATCGCCGCGGACCCGTCCTTAGGCCRCCCATAATACCGYAATGACAACATGATGCGATCTTGGAGCTCACACTCATCCTACRACCTGGATTATTTCACCCCTTGGATAAACGAACTCCTAAGGCAGCGATACCCCTATCACGCGGAGAATCGACTATGTACGCGGGAATTCCACTGCGCCACCTCTAACGACCCCCGGTGCTCTGATTTCCCTTCCCCCGACCATACCTATTACTTCATCCACCGRGGATTTGTCGTCATCACCACCAGTTTCCCTCCTTTTCGCCTTCTTCTCCCGTATCATCAACTCAGYGTCGTTCCGTGGCCGSCCATAGCCCCCTATTGGCCCARCAYGCCYTRYGGAAATTGYCGACRTGGCGGSRAAYARAGAACCCCGGAATTCCGAAGGCCCAACCCAAACACGCAGCGGYCGGCGCCACGTGGCGGCCCCCGACGGCCCAACTTTTCGGGACCACCTCCTCCGCGGAGGGACTTTTCMGTAAGCCGTCGCCMACYGTACCCAGGCCCCGTCAGGCCTTGAGTCCCTTGCGCACGCGCCCCTTATTCGCTTAATTGCATCCATACCCCTAAGACTCCCCCACTTTCCCAAAAATCCTTGGCACACCCCGTTTCGCACTTCCAGGCCCACATCCCACTCCGATCAGGAAGTCGCGCTGGGCGTGAGGTTGGTATCGGAGCCCGGCACGTGGCTAGGGTCTTAGGATTGATAGCACGTTAATTAGGCGACATGGCTAACCGCGGGCGACCTTGCCTTCGGAACGCGCAAAGACGCGACCCTATCGTCACCCGAAGCAGATCGGCTAACCGACGAGCAGCCAATATGGCTGCCAATGTGCAAAACCTGATTCCGCAACAGAATGCTAATCCACCGAATCAACCCGCCCCACGTGCAAGCCCCACGTGTATCTTTTTAACGGAGAACGCGAAAAATTGAACGCTCGTTCATCCGTTTAACGGGCCCCCGACCCCCGTTAAATCGCGTTAAACGCAAAAACGAGGGTGTCGCGTCGAATTCGGAAAAACCGAATTCGCGCGTTGGGCTTCGGACACGTGTACCTACGTGCCCGAACACTAAAACCAGAAAAAAAAAAAACATTTGGCCGCCATACCCCACCCCCCCATATTCCCCTGGGGGCCGCAATTTCCCCAAAAACGATACTTTCACCCCAAACACACCCCCGACCTCCAAAGCTGCACACCCACCCCCATTCACCACCGCTCACCCTCGACCCGTACTACCCGGCCACCCCACAGCCCCACGGGCCCCACCCATAGTGTTGGCCTCATCAGTCAACGACGCTTCTTCCCCTTCCCGCTCTGTCTCCTCGTACCCCCTTGCGTGCCGGATGTCGAACTCCTCCTCCCTCGTGATGATGAAGAAGTCTGCGCAGCGCGCCTTCTGGCTGCACCTTTCGGTGAGGGAGGTGGGGGCTCGTGCTCATCGTGGTCGTAGTCACCATCGGAACCTCTCTCGCTCTCCTCCTCTCCCTCCTCCTCGCCCTCATAGTCCTCGTCTTCCTCCCACATTGCCACATCTGTCTCAGGATCATCCTCCTCGATGGTGACAGGGGCTCCTGCCTTCCTCAACACAACAACCCTCGCACTAGCCTCTGTAACCGTCTGCTCACGGCGTGATCCACGAGGCATCCCCAACCCCTCTGCCCCCGAAGTCTCTCCAAGTGCATCTCCTCTCTCTGCGGGCACGGGGCGTGGACGAGGAGGCACTCCGCGCTTGCGTGGAGTCTGCTCATGTACGGCACGCGTCGCTGTCATCAGAGCGTACTCCAAGCTATCGGCGGCCGCGACCTCGCTGAGGCTCACAACCTGATGCTGCCACCTCCCTTGCTGCGGTCATCCTGCCGCCGCGGGGTCCCAAACCCGGTTGTAGACGTGTAGTGTGCTCCGTGACACGGCGGGTGGAATCCAAATCTATGTCTGTCCTCCCGAACAACGCTGTGTCACTCGCGTCCCCATCAACGACTGTAGTGTCCCGAATCCTACACCTCCCAGGCGTGTGTGGAGATCGAGAGCCTCTGCCTGTGGGCGACGATGACGGATCACCTACAGGTGGTCTAGAAGGAGGGGGTGGCATGTCTCGTGTACGTGGCGCCGTCTCCACGACACCACCTGAAACCCCTAGAACATCTCCCGCCGTACGTGCTCCGGTGGAGGTAGACCGAGACCACACTGGCGATGCAGGACCCTATGGAACTGGAGGGATCGCCTGCCATGGTGGATGCTGTAGCCTCTGGTCAAAGACCCGCCGGTCCAAGCGAGTCACATCGCGGACAGCCTCTCTCGCCAACTCGTCTGCATCCAAAGGACGGCGGACCTCCTACGGAGCAAAGTGACTAGGAAGACGTGGTGGCGCAACCACCGGCTCGAACCCCAAATCCGTGATAACGGGCGGCGACACACCATGCACTGCCACCGGCACCAGCTGCGACTGTCGGCCCTTAGCCAAGTGCAGGCCCGAGAACGGAACGACTAGACCCGTCGTTGTCTCCCGGACCACACATCGTGCGTCACCCACACTCTCTTCTCGCCGCCGTCCTGCCTGCACAGCCTCATCCACCGCCTGTTGCAAGCCCTCCACATGAACATCCGCTGCCTCTCGCCCACCCTGCACAGCCTCAACGTCCGCCCGTGCTACCACTCTCTCCACAACGTCCTCCCCC